GTTGGATGGTTGGAGATCGAAGAAATATAGGTACATGAAACTAAATTGTGTTTCAACCTTGCTAATTGCATAGGGGTTACAATTCTATTTGAGAAGTTGTTGAGTTATATGAGAACAATGAGCTAGCTAAAATAGATAGGACATTGAGTGGTTTGTATTACGTGAAGACTTTGAATGAGAAATACTCCACTCTCAAAGAAAACACTGACAACCCGCTGCTTTCCAATACAATAAAGCTGCACTACACAAATATCAAGCCGTGTAGCGGAGTTCGTCACATTACATCTCACGATTCATTGCCGGATCGGAGTCTAATCCATCACTACTGAGAAAACTTCGAATTAAAAAATATCGAAACCTCCGATACTGAGCAACCTGGCCGAACTGAGCAGAGTAACGGCAAGTTGTTGGGGATAAATGAATTAAACTGGTACGTGAAGCCTGAGTGACAGCATTTCATGCAGAGTGGTTATTACCATGCTAACAAGGAGGATTCTACTCCGGTTAGTGTTACCTTACATAGGTTTCAAATCATTGATCAGCAATCAAAAACAGTCTCTTTTGGATGTTATCAGTTGGGGGTTTGATTGAGGCACTTCAGTGTATTTCCATGTGGCATACCCTGAAGGGTATGCCCGAGAAGTTTATTTCAATATTACGATCTCTTTATACTAATAGCCGGGCTTACGGCACTTTTTCTCCCGAGTTCACCACAGAAAGCAGTGTTCGTCAGGGTTGCCCTCTGTCTCCTTTTCTGTTCAATTTAGTTATAGATTTGTTTATGGAAAAGCTCTATCCTCGTGCGAGGAAAGTGGTATCGATTTACTCCCGGGTGGCGAGCTGTCTGATCTAAAGTATGTAGACGGCATTTTGCTGCTAAGTGAAGATCCAGGTAAGTTACAAGCATTTCTGGATAACTTGAATGCCAGTGTAACCATGTTTGGTTTGCGTTTGCACCCTCAAAGTATAAAATGTTACTACAAAACTGGGTCAGTCCAGCACCCAGCCTCACTCGAACTGGAGGGGTGATAGAGCAAGTGGATAAGTTTTGTTATTTTGGGCAGCCACATCTCACCCGGTGGACGCATCACGGATGAAGTGTCTACTCGCATACAGAGGGCTCGGTTGGCATTTGCCAACTTGAGACATCTGTGGTGCCGTCGCGACATCCAGTTGTCTGTGAAGGGTCGATTGTATGCCGCGGCAGTTCGGCCAGTTCTGCTATACGGCGTAGAAACTTGACCATTAAGAAAACAGGACAAAGATAGGCTGTCGGTGTTTGAACACCGCTGTCTACGCAGCATTTCACGAATCTGGTGGGACAGCTGGACGAACAATGCTGAGGTTAGGCGCAGAGTTTTAGGTATCCGCGGTCGGCCACTGGAGCAAATAGGTTTACACCTCGAGCAATGTTCGCTGAGACAAGTAGTGGGTGGAGGAAAGTTAAGGGTAGTCACGCTAAGACTTGGCACGAGGGTATGATAAACCTAACCAGGAGTCTGGGTCACACAGGTCCCGTTCGGCTCCCTGGCTGGGGACCTCGGGATGATCGTAACCGATGTTTAGAGACACTGAGNGTGGCGTTTGTGCATCTCCACAATTTCTCTGCAGACGTAGACCAATGAACTTCTGCATTTTCTGTTGTACTCTACCTCAAACTTTCCTGTCTTCTCCTATTCTTCATCTAAATGAGCAGCCAAAATCGGCGCCCAAAAGTGCATGGTTAATGGTTGTACAAACTGAACTGAAGTGAATGTGTGGCATATTCCGGTGGATGATTGTCTATTCACTTTTTCGACCAACAATGTGCAAACCAATTTTTGTGCAACAAATGACCAATGAAAAATACGTAAGCAGAGAAGAGAGTTCGTTAACGATGAAATCAATTATACTGACTGGGAACAACTCCGTTCTATCTCACAACTATCTGGAGGAACACTATGGAGTCACATACTCTTTGTACAAAAATTAGACGAGCCGAAAAACCAAGACGTGTTTCAATGAGAAGCACACGACAAAATGGGAGAGCAAACTTTGAAAACAACACTACAAAATTGCTGAGCTGTAGCTAATTGTTACCGTCAACATGCAATTCATAATAAATCGTAAATTATGGCACTGATCTATTTATAGCAAACAGTAGAGCTTTCTTACTGAGGGAATCCTTTTCTGAAGTCAGACGTTCCAAAAGTAATGTCGGTGTAGCATGTTTGTGCCCAAAGACAGATAACTACCCACCCATACGACCAACACCTATCAGTTATAAACAGCACCGACTGCAAAGAGGTGAGCTAAATCTCAACCAGTTCCACCGAGATTTTACTTAGTGTTTTGATGACGACAATTAACTGAGATCCAATTTTAGGACAAAGCCAACGTGACTGTATACCATACGGAAGCTGTTATTTTTAATTCTTGGTCATGATATCGCCAGCATGAAATTTACACAAATCTCAATCGGATCTTTAAAGTGAATTTCAGGACGGCAGATAAGGTTGACCACTGTGTTGCCGTAAAGTTCATGATATTTCCATCACGTTTGAAAACAATGCA